AAAATGCTTTATTGCTGAAAGCCTCTGTGCAGGAATCTTCTAACTAAGCTGCTTTATTACTGAAAGGCTCTGTGCAGGAATCTTCTAACTAAACTGCTTTATTGCTGAAAGCTTCTGTGCAGGAATCTTCTAACTAAACTGCTTTATTGCTGAAAGCCTCTGTGCAGGAATCTTCTCAAGTAATGGTCGGGACATGCTAGGAGTTAGATAAATTCTACAGATTCAAGGGAGGTTGGACTTTGTTTGTTTGTGATTAGGTAGGGATTCTAGGCTGCTTCCTGTTTTGACTCCGCCCCCTCGCTTCTGCCACTCCTCCCCCTTCAGGCTGTTTGCTTATCTTCTCTTCCTTACATGTATCCACGTGTTCCTAACTATGTTTTTACTTATACCTATTACCTTGTAAGCCATTGACAAAAATGAATAAATAAATAAAACAAGCAGAGGCCTGCAATGGTTGGACGGGAAGTAGGTGTAGCCAATGTGCTGGCTATCCCCAGAGAAAGCACCGGAAGTCGAGCCCTTCTGTCTTTCTCCACTGGCAGGTCCTTTCACCAGTGCCGTCTCGGCGGACGCTGCCCTGGAGCAGATCCTGGCCATGAGGCAGTTACTGGCCACCATGAAGGAGGAGGAGAACGCTTTGCGCTCCAACCTGGGCATCTTCAAAATTGACCAGCCGGCCTCCAAAGACCTCCAGAAGCTGGAGAGGGTGAGAGTGGACCTCCTCCCGTGGGCCGCCTTCTGAAGGGAAGACCCTCAGGTCCCCCCAAGGGCGGGCTTCACGTTTTTGGGCTTGTCTTCTGGGCCTGGTAGGAACTGGATTACATCCAGCAAGTCTGGGAGATCACGAAGGAATGGGAGGTCCACTGGGAGGAGTGGAAGAACGGGAGCTTCAAGACGCTGAAGACAGAAGTGATGGAAAACACTGCCTTCGCCCTCTTCCGGAAGCTGAACAAGCTCAGCAAGGAGCTGAAGGCAAGCGGGCCTGCGGAGGAGGAAAGAGGGGTGAAGGTCCGGGGGGCTCCTCCGTGGGGAAGGAGGCGGCGGAGGGCGGGTCTCTCTTCGGCGCCCCCCTTTGGGCTGGGGTTCAACGTTCCGTGGGGGTGGGAGGGTGGAGGAAGGGATTTCCCCACTCCACCGCAGCCCAACCTTGGGTCGACTGGATTGAATCAAGGAACCCCTCAGAAGATTCCCACCAACACCGAGAGAGGGCAAGTCATTCGCTATACGAAATGAGAGCAAATCCCATTTCTTCCGGCACTGGGTGACGTTCCCTAGCTGGGTTATGAAACACAGGTAGGAAAACCATCAACCGCAGAAAGCACTAGTCCTCCTCCTCTTCTTCCTCCTCCTCCTTTCCACAGAGCCCACTCTCTTCTAGCAGTGATGATGTTAGCTAGATGGGTCATGAAATATCTGCAAGAAAATCACTAAGCTCAGAGAGCACCAAGGACCCCAGAGTTGTTCTTGTCCTCCTCCCCATTCCTTTCCACAAACCCCACTCCCTTCTAGTGCTGATGACCTTGCCTAGTTGGGTCATGAAACGTCTGCAAGAAAACCACCCAGCTCAGAAACCAGCAAAGACCCAACAGTCCTCCTCCTCCTCCTCCTCCTCCTCCTCCTCCTCCTCTTCCTCCTTCTCTTCCTCCTCCTCCTCCTCCTCCTCCTCCTCCTCCCAAACCTAACTTCCTTTTAGCACTGATGATGTTCCCTAGTTGGGTCAGGAAACGCCTGCAAGGAAACAACCCAGCTCAGTTGAGCATCTAGGAATTGAAGTTGAGGCATCCTACATAAACGACTGGCAGATTTCCAGCCCCGACCCGGAAATCCGATGCTTTCCCATTTCCCTCATTTAATGAGCATTTTTTTTCTCCTTCCTTTTGTGACCGAAGGATCGGAACTGGGAAATAATTGAGACCTCCAAGGCCAAGATCGAGCAGTTTAAGAGGACCATGCCTTTGATCACGGACCTCAGGAACCCAGCTCTGAGAGAGAGGTAGGGGGCTTGCGTTGGCCAGGAAGCGCAGCCCGGGGTTGGCCGAGTGGAAGGACACTGGCCTGGTCCTGGACCAAGGAGATCTTCGACCTAGAGTGAATGGGTGGTTGGGTGGATGGATGGATAGATAATGAATGGTTGATTGGTTGGTTGGTAGGTTGATATGTAGGTAGGTAGGTGGATGATTGATGATAGATAGGTGATAGTTAATGATAGAGAGATGGTAGATGGATGGTAGGTGGTAGGTAGGTAGGTAGATAGACAGACAGACAGACAGGTAGGCAGGCAGGCAGGCAGATAGATAATGGATGAGTGGGTGGATGAATATATATGATAGTTGATGATGATAGAGATAGATAAATAGATGATAGTTGATGATAGATAGATAGATGGTAGATAGATTGATATAGATAGGTAGCTGCTAATAGATGATAGTTGATAGATGGTTGGTTGGTAGGTAGGTAGGTAGATAAATAGATGATAGGTAGGTAGGTAGGTAGGTAGGTAGATAGATAGATAGATAGATAGATAGATAGATAGATAGACAGACAGACAGATAGTTGATGATAGATAAGATATATGGTAGATGGTGGGTAGGTAGGTAGGTAGGTAGGTAGATAGATAGATAGATGCATAGATGGATGGATGGATGGATGGATGGATGGACGGACGGATGCATAGATAGATAGATAGATAGATAGATAGATAGATAGATAGATAGATAGATAGATAGATAGATAGATAGATAGATAGATGCATAGATAGATGGATGGATGGATAGATAGATACATAGATGCATAGATGGATGGATGGATGGAGATAGATAGATAGATAGATAGATAGATAGATAGATAGATGGATGGATGGATGGATGGATGGATGGATAGATAGATAGATAGATAGATAGATAGATAGATAGATAGATAGATAGATAGATGGATGGATGCATAGATAGATGGATGGATGGATGGAGAGATAGATAGATAGATAGATAGATAGATAGATAGATAGATAGATAGATAGAT